CAGTGCTCAATATACAAATCTTTTCTTTGACTTTGGGGTCTAAGTTACCACAGGACACTCAATTTCCGTCTTTTTCTCAAGAGCTGTGTCTTAGTGACAGTAGGAAGGTTTCTGGTGAAGGCCAATTCAATTACCCAAGTCCTCCACATTCTATGTACAGCCTCTCTGCTATCGAAAGGAGTCTGAAGTTACACAGGGTGGGGTGAATGAAGGGAGTGGGTCCGCTTTGTTTCTGTCTTAGGACCCCAGTGATGTGAAAACCACATTTGGACGTGTGTGCAGGAGACTGAGAAGGGCAGGCTCAGCTTCCCCACTTCCTCGGAGGTGCAGCCCACACAAATCAGCCAGAAGCCATCCTTCACCTGTCTGGTTTATTATCATAGTTCTGTGTTAATACATTCTGTTGATCTGCAGTGTCAGGTTGGATAATGAAATTTAAATTGGGTCTCTTCGATTTCCGATAGCTAAGGTTTGTGCTTCTAACTGTTGGGGCTTCAGTGTAACTTAAATGCATTCTAGAGTGTCAGTCACTTACCATCAGCACCCCACACTGCAGCGGCCTTCTTAGAGAGGGTTTTTTTTTTTCTTTTTCTCCCTACAGAACATTTGTACAGGCATTTTCCCAGAATGCAGGCAACCTGCATCATTATAGCAGCCGGGCTTATCAGTGAGCACAGCTTGAGGGAACAACTGTGGGCCACCTTGTCCTTCATTTTCTTGTTCCCAATAGCCTGGGTCCTTGGAAACCACAGTAAAGGGGGACGGATAAAGAGAATCAGAACACTCAATTAATGAACATTTTCTTCACCAATAAATAAGAAAATTAGGATCACTCACTGTATTTCAGACTCGGCACAGCAACATCCAGATGGAAATCCAGGTAGTTAAGAACAAGAAAGAATGCATGATCTTGACACCAAAAAGAAACGAAAGAAAAAAAAAGGAGGTTGATGAAGAAAAAAAATCCAACTGCAATTATCCCTCAATTTTAGTCAACACAGGAACCAATCCAACTGTCCTCTGCTGATTTCTCTCCCCAGTCAATGCCTCATTCCACTACGGTCAACTTTCTTCAGTGAAATTTTTTTTTGCAGATGCTTTATTAATTTCCTCTCTTCTTGTGGGAAATTCAAAAAGAAAAAAAAAATATATATATATCAAGTCTTTACTTTCCTAAAAAAAGCCCCAAACTTTTCATTCCAAAAATATCTTCTTGGCGTACTTTCTTCTTTATAGAGAAAAAGGAACATACTTTTTCCTCCTGGATCCTCAGTTCTCCATTTCCAAGCATCCTTTGGGGGGGGGGAGGGCAGCTGTTTTATAATTATTTATTTATGCCAGAATACAACAACCCCCGCAGATCTGACACCGGCTTATTTTAATTTTTTTTCAATGCTCCCCCTGTGGTTATACACACATTTATGTTACGATCCAGGTCTCACAAGAAAAAGCTTCGTTCTTTCGTCTCTCTGACACAATCAGTTTATCCACTGCGTTGGGCTCCGAGAGAGAGCTGCGTCCCACATCCTTCATTTTTGCAAGGCACCCAACGTCCGTCTCCACCAAGAAAGAAAAAGATTGGGGAAAAAAAAAAAAAAAAAGCAAGGAAAAAAAAGGGAAAAAAAGAAAGAAAAAAGAAAAAAAAAGAAGGAAAAGAAGAAAAAGTCTCCTTTTACATCCTCGATTCCCTTCTCCAGCTTTCCCTTCGGAGAATTGGAGGATCAACTACTCCACGGGCTACCCTTCCGGCCGGCCACTTCGTCAAAGGTCTGATTAGATTTCTCATCACAACCCAGTGCGCAATCGGATTTTTGATTTCAGCCACCGGGCCAGCCACATGCCCCTCTCCCCTCCAAACTCCCGGTTAGATGCTGTCTCCTTCCCTCCACCGCCTCTGCGATTTCATAATCTCACGGTAAATGGAGTGCGGGGGGCGGGGGCGGGGAGGGGGCGGAGGTAGAGGAGGAAAATTTCAAGGCTCCGTCAGCTGTCAAGAACAAACCCATTCCTCCCCCTCCTGCTACTTTTTTTTAAGGCACCGGGTGCCTTTTGCTGGGTCCCCACCTCCACCCTAGCACTGGGTCCGGGTCCTCCAGGTGTAGCTGAACTCCGCGATCAGGGCCAAGATCTCGGGGGAGACGCGTGCTGCGGTCCCTTGGCTGCAGACCCAGCCAGCCCGGGTGTCCCCTTCGCCATCAGTGGGCGGCAGATCCAGAGGCGTCGCAGGGATGGAAGTTCAGATTGGGTTTTTATTTCAAACAGGGAAAGCAAAGTGATGGGACCGACGTGGTCTTAGGTGAATTAAAAA